AGGGAGAACTGCAGAATTCTCAAGAAGCCCTTAAAACCCATAACGAGGGATGGGCAAATTAAAAGTAGCCAGGGATAGTATAAAGCAATTAACATTTACAGTGAATAAATTCTGGAATGGTCAGACTTAACTGTCAAGACACAAATCAGACAGAAAAAATGTATTGCATAGAGAAAGAATAAAGTGGCTACAGTAATTATATTGATGGTGAGGTATTTGTCTAAGAAATGACAGAGGAAATGTTCAAAATGGTCCTTACACTGATAGTACTAAACTATAAGGTTTACATAAAAATCAAAAGGACTCAGTATTTCAGCTTAAAGGACTTCCCCCACCCCCACTTCAGTATCCATCTCTCCCCATTTAACAGTATCCAAACATGCATTTAGAAATATGATAATCCTTTCTGGGCTAAGAATACAATTGAAAGGATTTCCTACATACTCTGTCCCGTGACTGTTTTCCAATTCCTTGGTAGATCACTCTATTTTTTTATTATTATTTTTTAAGAAGCTGGCTTCTGGTACAGGAATGTACCTCTTGTTTCTTTTTTTTAAGATTTTTATTGGGGAATTGGGATGGGAACAGTGCTGGGGAATTGGGGAAAGGGGAACAGATAAGTTGCTGTCGTTTTGTTCTTCAGTCTAGTTGTGGAGGATGCTGCTTCACTGGCCCAAGTTGGCACCATCATTGCGCTCTTCCTGGGCGAGGCACATCAGTCGCCGGCTTCTGGACGGCCGCTCACAGCGGCTGCTGGCCACATACGGTAGCCCATGGCAACCCACTGCCACAGGGACTGCAGCCTATGCCGTCGCCAGCGACTCACAGCAGCCCAGCTCCAGGTTGAGCTGTTGTTCAGCATCTTAGCTGTGGAGGGCAGTGTCACTGGCCCTCATATGTGGGATCCGAACCGGGGCCCTCTGGCATCCCAAGCCAGTTCTTAACCATCGCGCCACTCGGCCGGCGCCACTCGGCCGGCCCCACTCTCTTATTTTGACATGACCCAGTGGCTTCCAAATTTTGCTGCACATTACAACTGGGGAATTAAAAAAATAAACACACAAAAAAACCTTGCTGCGTGCAGGGCGCAGACCATCCCAATTAAATTAGAATGTCTGGGGGTAGGAGTCAGGCATCAGTATTTTTAAAAACATGTCCGGGTTATTTCAAAATGCAGCCATTGGCGAACCACAGAAATAACCTGTTGAGCTGTCCCACTTATGAAAAAAAAATGCACATACAGGATAAAAACTTCAGCAGCAGTCCTTTTTAGGGATGATCTATTGTCTAAACTTTGAATTTAAAAAGGAGGAAAGTTGGGCCGGCTGAGTGGCGTGATGGTTAAGAACTGGCTTGGGCCGCCAGAGGGCCCCGGTTCGGATCCCACATATGAGGGCCAGTGACACTGCCCTCTACAGCTAAGATGCTGAACAAACAGCTCGACCTGGAGCTGGGCTGCGGTGATTCGCCAGTAACGGCGTAGGCTGCAGTCCCTGTGGCAGTGGGTTGCCATGGGCTACCGTGTGTAGCCAACAGCCACCGTGAGCGGCCAGTAGCCGCTGTGAGAGGCCGTCCAGAAGCTGGCGACTGATCTGCCTCGCCCAGGAAGAGCGCAATGATGGTGCCAACTTGGGCCAGTGAAGCAGAGTCCTCCACAAACTAGACTGAAGAACAAAAGGACAGCAACTTGTCTGTTCCCCTCCCCCCAATTCCCCAGCGCTGTTCCCATCCCCCAATTTCCCAATAAAAAAATCTTAAAAAAAAAAAAAAGGAAAGCAAACTTTCTGTCCTGGGGTAATGTTTTGAGTTTTCTTATGCCAACATTCAAAACAAGTTTATTTAGTACATCTTGCCTCCCTGCACAGAAAAGATTTAAAAAATTATTTCTTTCTGGGGGAAAAAAGGTGAAATCATCCAGTAGGAGTCAAGAGATGATATAGAAAATTATTATTGCCTGATACTTTGTTATAACAAGGTTAAGAAATGGTAAAATATAGTGGTTTAAGATAGTGAATTTCAGAGCTTGGGATCAAAAAGTGCTCAGGTCTAAAGAAAAATAAAAACTCATCACAGAAAACCATGTTTCTAAAATGTCACTGCACAATGTAGAACATCACACTAAATATTTGCAATGAACTTGTCATTCCTTCTGTTAAATCTACCTTTTTTTTTTTAAGTGTGAAAGTGACTGTCCCTTAGTTAACTCACCTGACACTAAAGCTGTCTGCTTAAGCCTAAGACAGACACTGGTGCTATTTCCCTCTTACACACTATTTCTCATCGTCATTGGTGAGAAAGGGTCTTATCCTTGCAAGTTTCTGTTGCATGCTGACTGGATTCTTGTAAAGTTCAGTTGGGGTGTTCAGTGATGAGGGGTATTCACAGGTGAAATGAGTCGACAACTCAAGTTGTACCCAGCTTCTGTTACTTCCGTTGTCATTTAGAATTCTAGTTCTCACTAGGGCTACAATTTCAAAAGGCTTAAACTACCTTAATGATTGTATGTATATCCTAAATCCTCGATGGGAACATAATTCCTCTCATTTATTTTTAGATAATAAAAATGTTTAAAGCATGTATTTCTTTTTTGATTACCATATCCTTTATAATATCCAAGCTCAAGAGCAGCACTTCATAGCTTGCCTAGTTATTTATAGTAGCCGGGTGAGTAATAAAATCATGACAAACCTGCTGTTTGAGGGCACTCATTAGAATGTCTAAATTCTCTTTGATTCTCCTTCCTAGTTCTGATTAGCCCACTAGCTTCTGTCTCCACTCCATGTTGTCTCTCTCTCCAATTCCCATCCCACCCACCCTCCCAAACTCCTGACATCGCTTCCTACATGTTTCTACTCCAAACCAATTTTACGTTCTAGCAGAGGGATATCAACAAGTGCAATTGTTTAGTGTGCAAAATAATGGAGAAGTCTTTTCAAGAAATGGTGCAGGATAACTGGGTATCTACATGTAAAATGAAGTTAGACTCCTACCTCATATCACATTCAAAAATTAACTCAGAGGATCATAGATCTCAATGGAAGCTAAAACTACAAAACTCAGGACACACATAAATCTTCATAACCTTGGGTTAGGTCATGGTTTCTTAGATATAACCAAAGCCCAAGCATCTAAAGAAAAAATAAATTGGGCTACATTAAAATTAAAAACTCCTGTTCAAGGCACTATTAATGAAATGAACATGGGAGAAAATACTTGCAAATCATCTATCTGATGAGGGACTGGTATCCAGAATATATAAAGAATGCTTATGACTAAGACAAAAACTCAACTAAAAAATTACCAAAGGATTGGAATATATTTTAAGAATGACATAAAAATGGCCTATAAACACATGAAAAGATGTTCATCATTGGTCTTTACAGAAATGTGAATCAAAACCATCAGATACCACTTCAGCTAGGATAACTAGAATTTAAAGTCAGGTTATCAAGTCATTATGATATGGGGAAGCTGTAATCCTGGCCTTGCTGGTAGGAATGTAATGTGGTACACTTTGAAGTTTGGCAGTTACTCAAAAAGGTACCATATGGCCCAGAAATTTCACACCTAGGTATTATACTCAAAAGAACTAAAAACATGCTGATACAAAAACTTGTACATCAAAGTTCATAATAGCATTAATCTTAACAAGGACAAAATAGAAACAGCCCAAAGTGATAAATGAAATGTAGAATCTCCACACAACTGTCTGGCAATAACAATGATGAAATACTGATATAATTAATTGTACACTTTTCAAAGGTGAGTTTTAGTTCAGAAAAAATGTCGGTTAAAAAAACAAAACAAAACCAGGGGCTGGCCGAGTGGCGCGTTGGTTAAGAGCTGGCTTGGGACACCAGAGGGCCCCGGTTCGGATCCCACATGAGGGCCAGTGATACTGCCCTCTACAGCTAAGATGCTGAACAACAGCTCGACCTGGAGCTGGGCTGCCGTGAGTCACCAGCGACGGCGTAGGCTGCAGCCCCTGTTGCAGTGGGTTGCCATGGGCTACCGTGTGTAGCTGGCAGCCAGTGTGAGCGGCCAGCAGCCGAAGTGAGCAGCCGTCCGGAAGCTGGTGACTGATGTGCCTCACCCGTGAAGAGTGCAATGATGGTGCCAACTTGGTCCAGTGAAGCAACATCTTCCACAACTAGACTGAAGAACAAAACGACAGCAAATTGTCTGTTCCTCTTCCCCCAATTCCCCAGCGCTGTTCCCATTTCCCAATTCCCCAATAAAAATCTTTAAAAAAAAAAACTAGGAGGAACTTAAAAGGAAAGAAGAGTGACAAAGCGAGTTCTAGTTTAAATAGGGGCTATCAAGAAAAAAAAATTTAAGTAAAGAAGTGACCAAATAGTAAATTAACATCAAACATTTAAACTCCATTACCAAAAAGACTTGAATGTTGCTATTTTTTTTTTTCTTTTTTAAGCTGAGCCATCCTGCTATCTGTTGGCAGCTCAGCAGCTGCTCAGCTCGGGCTGGACTTGAACCGCTGTTGCTCAGAGCTCAAACTTTTGAGCGAGCTCTTAACCAACTGAGCCACTCAGCCGGCCCTCAAAAAGACTTGAAATACACTTTCTCTAGTTTAGAAATTTAGGGACTATGATCCTGACTAAATCCTGACATTTAAAATGGCTGCTCATTTTAGAAACTTAAAAGCTTCTCAAAAGACAAGGCCTCCAAGCTTTAGTCTGCATAGTAAAGATCGCAGATTGCTTTGCCAGGGTTTAAGATGACAAAATTTAATATAATAAATATAACGAATACAAATGTATATTTCAATGCTTTAACTTTGGAAAAGAACATTCATCACAGTTTTGCAGCCACTTTCATTCCAGCTTTTTTAACAGAAAACTCTGCAAACTTCTCTCACAGAGTTCACTCCTGAGATGAGATTATCCTCCTCCTACAGGCAAAAGAGGCATGACATCAATTCACCATTTTCAAAGATAAAGGATAGGTTAAGAGTTAAGAATAAAAATTATCAGACTCCAAAATCCATATATTTCTTTTATTGAATTTGTTAATGTTACAGAGTTCTTGCACTGCCAAACCATGCCTGAGAATTCAAAGAAAGAAATGGTACAATGGACAGCCTCATCTACCCATCATACAGTATATTAAAACTTGATTCATGTGCATTTTGATAATTCCACCATCTTTTAAAAAGTTATGACAAGAGTTGGTTTTAATCTCCTGCAGGTCTTCTGATTTCTAGTACAGTATGCCGTTAAATAAGTTCCACATATCCATCTCAGTTCATTCCTCAATAACATAACCACCAACAAAATTTCGCTGGAAAGAATGCATACTTTTCAGGGAAAACATGTGGCTCAAGGTCCAAGAAATTTGTTAAGATTTTTGGTTCCCACATGAAGCTTTCAGTTTAACCAAGAATTTGTTTCTCGCTTAATCATCCAACCTCTCCTTGGCTTGCTCAGCAACTCACCCAAATACATCACAAGGCAGGCATCCGGCCTGCCACCTCAAGTAACGCCAACATTATTGCCCTGAATGGTTGGCAGGTCCCGTCAGGAGACAGTGAAACCCCTCTAGGAGTCTGATTCCTGCATTAACACTTTCATCAAGACTAAACTCCCAAAGGAAAATGCTCCATCCGGATAGTTTTACTCACCCATTTGCTTCACTCTTGCCAGTAGCAAGTCTGCAACTCCTGCCATTTGGCAAAGGGATTTATTATAGAGACACCCAGACTCTGCATCAAGTGGTCACATACCACTTTGAAATATTTCTATTGAACCAAAGATACAAAACTATGAAATTGCCAGACTATCTCATTAGATGGAAAGAAACTTTTCCGTAATCCTGGTATCTTCCTGAAGTCCCTTTTAAGGACTAAAAATTACTGGATAGTTTAAGCTGTAATTATTAAAAACAGAAGTGCTACATCACCTGTCTTTCGCCCCTGACTCTCCAAATGAACAACATAAGGACACACCAGAAGGTTGATAACTAAGCTGGGACAATCACTGCATCTATAGAAATGTCCAATACCTTAAACATTTGGGCACAAGTATATGTGGAATTGTCAAAGATCATGTGAGACCCATGACACGTAAGTGGGTTTTTTTAGGTTGAGGTTCTGCTCACGTTGCTTTGAACTTGTAAGGACAGGTGAGTGAATCCCGTGGCCTGAGCAGCAACCATACCCTCTCCACTGCAGTTTACCATTGAGACCTGATTAGAGGAGGCTGTAGCAGCACCTGAAGGAGAGCCCCCTGCATCCACTGCCCTTTACATCCAAGGCTATTTGGTTCCACTCTAGGGATTGGCAAATCGACCAGACAGTTCACAATTCTAATGCATATTTCAGGTTACTTACTTAACCAAGCAATATGCTCTGTCAAAGAACTTATTCCAAGTCAAAGCAAAAAAAAAAAAAAAAAAAAAAAAAGGCCTTAATGTGGAACACAGAAAAAGCACTACCCAAATAAAAAAATTTACTGAAAGAAACAGATTACTCCCTCTCCCACCCCCTTTTCCACTTGGTGGACCCACGTTTGGTTGAATTTGTGGTTACCTCAGAATACAACTCAAAGTTTAAATAATAAATCACAGCCCTACACAGATTATCTGAACACATCAGCTCCTTTTGAGTGGCATGTATCAGGAACTCTGATACAGCCACAGCCCACTACAGAGAGTATTCCTTAAGAAGGGGGGCACAGGTCAGGTTAATTAAGGTCACTTAAATCTTCATCTTTCACAGCAGATCGAACCCAATGGCTGACTTTCTGTAGGATTTCTGATAGGAATCCAGTAGAGCTGGTTTCAAGTTTCACATCGACACTTACTAGCTGTAACCGTCTTATCCAGAAGTTGTGATCCACATGAAGTCAATGAGTGCAGCAAATCTGAGGTAGTCAACCCTTACGAAGGCTCAGTATCTGAACATAAAAAGATTTTGAAATGACCACTGGCTGCAGTTTTTGTGTGTGTGGTTTTTTTTTGTATTTGCAGAGTAATTATGAAAGAACACTGCTGAAGCTAGTTCACACATTTATAACAATGAAAATCCCCCTAAATTCAATATACAGAGAGCAGTTGTAACACTTTAAACTTCCATAGTGCAATAGGGCTGGTCGCTTCTATCGAGTGGTCTGCATCAGTTGCTGTAGATCCAGCAGAGATCAGATGACGAATGGCTGTTCATGGTGGTTAGCTGTGGTCTAGTTACCTTAGAAGGGTTAGCAAAGACCGTTCCTTAATTGTACTGTGTGTGGCTGCTTTTCTGATTTTCAAGCACAGCATACTGGTTGTCTAGCTGAAGTTTAAGGGCCTGGTTTTTTGAAACCTCATCCCTACCTCTAGTTTTGTGTCTTACTACTTCAAAGCTCTTCTCCATTTCTTTATCCCTAAGGGAAAATAAATGTAATCAGTAAATATTTCTTGAGGTTGTTTTGAAAACATTCTTCCTTGAATTAAAAAACAAAACAAAAAAAAAGCCATCCCTTAGAAGAATCTTGAGGAAGAGACAGGAGGGGAAAACTATAGTATACAAAATCTGTATCAAACCATTTTTAAGACTTCAATTGAACAGAAAACATAGAATACTGTGATAGAAGCTCGATGGTCCCATTTTCTGTAGTAGCAAACTTGCTGAATACTATTAATTGCAAACCTATTTTGGGACCAACTTGAAGACAACTAGAAAGTTAAAAAACTGTCAAATAACATGGTGATTCCTTCTAAGGCTCAGTCTACTTGTAGCGAATAATAGACAATACATCTGTCTTTACGCACAAGGACAATTTTCCCATTCAAGTAAAGTTCTGCTCATTATTCAATTTCTCCTCACTTCTACTTTATGGGAGTGGCTCAGATAAAGAAGAGTGTGATGAATCTCTGCCCCTTATTTTGAAGGACAGGTCAAAGGAGCGAGTCCAAGTGGAGGTTTAAATTCAAGCCAGCTGTGCTCTCAAAGAGGCAAAAGGGCTGGGATTTATGTTAAAACCCACCCAAAAAACCAACAGTTCCATCTGATGTTATTTACATTTCTTCCCATTTTATTTAATTTAAAAAATTCATGTTCCTAAGTAAGATGTGGATGTGCCATATGTGGTCATTTAACTCCAGGTAGCATTCATTTTAAGTACCTGCTGAAATAAGATTATTTTAATGTTAGATTTATAAATGTCAGCATCTCTCACCTATTCACATTAACTGGGAATACAATGAACATATTGCTCTTTCATTTCTTGTTTCCATATTATAAGGAACATAAACCAACACTAATGTACTTAGTAAAGAACTCTAACTGGGTGAGATTGTCATGGCTACAGAACATAAACCAGGGAGAACAGAAACTTTTGTCGACAGTTTGTCTCTGGTGCTCCTTCCCCTCGTCCCATCCAGGATCCTTCCCGCTCTTGGGCACTAAGTCCCACCCTCATTCTCAGCTGCCCGTCAGATGTGGCCTGGGCTTTACCATTAAGAATTTAACTGCCCCCCCACCCCATGGATTTTTGTATCTCCTACATCCCACCTTTCAGTCGCAGGATAGGTAATTAGAATACTTACTTCCGGCTTTCTACATGCTTGGCAGTGGACTGCAGGGATGGGAACTGTGTATCGCTGTATATTTCTGGCGGTCCTTGTGGTGTTTTTCTTGTTGTGGTTGACCTGGCTCCAGGAGGCCTATACACACCACTAGTCATTGCCGGTTCTGGGGTTTCTGTAACTAACATTTCATAACAGTTTAGAGGAAATACTCAAATGCTTGGCATTTTAATAAGCTAGTCTTGCAATCCTGATCATTTAACAATTACAGAAATAAAACCAATACATGACATAAGAAGGGTCTCCAGACAACAGAAGGAAAGCTCGTTATCTGAGGAAACGTCTGAAAGTGAAACTATTCTAGCTAGGGTAGGCTTCTAACCTCATCCAAGAACAAGTTTAAGTATCGATGTAAATGAGTTCTGTAAGTGAACTTATTGGAAGGGGAAAGGACCTGGGAGACAGGTCTCATCAGGGACTGCCTTTCCGAGGATGACTTCAGCTCTCAGTTTACACAGCAGTCAATTTGGATAGTCACTTCTTTACCTGGTTAGTGGATTAAATAAGATGCCATGTGTAAAAAACATATTTAATAAAATGCCTGTGAAGTTCTTTTACTTTTAAAGATGACTGATAAAAAAATGAAATAAAATTAACAATTCAGCTCACCATATTTTAAGTACTACCTAGCCACATGTGACTAGTGGCTACTATAATGAACAGTGCTATTCCAGTGGAAGGAAACAAAATATGTAAAAAGATAGATGCCATACCCAAAATTAAAGTGGGGAAGTGTGTTGCTGGAAGGGGCTGCGATTTTAAATAAGGTGGTCCCGGAAGGTTGTCAGCGATGAGGTAAAAATTGAGCAATGGCCTGAAAAGAGGCGGCAAACATCTAGAAGTTTGCAAACAAGCTAAGTCTGGTCCAAAAACTGATTTTGTAAAGAATGTTTTACTGGAGCACAAATACACTCACAGGTGTGCGTAGTGTCTATGGCTGCTTTTGTGCTACAATAGCAGAGCTGAGTGATTAAAACACGGTCCGCCTGACCCTCAAAGCCTCAATTTACTATCTGGCCCTTTACAGAAAGAGCCTACCAATTCCCAACATAAAGAGAATTCCAGGCTGAAAATATCAGTACAAATGGCCTGCAGTAGTAATGTGAGGAAGTTCAGATTAATAGAAAGACAACGTCAGAAAAAGGGGATCACAAGGCAGGCCTTGTAAGTCACCGAGAGCTTTAGCCTTTACTCTGATTAGAGGGGACCCCATTAGAGGTTTATGAACAGCACAGGGACATATTCTGCCATATTATGTGAAAAGATCACAACCCTTGCTGTTGGCTGAGTTGGGAACAGCATATCTAGAGAAGCACGCAGACTAGATAAGGGGCTGCTACCTTAGTAATCCATTTAAAAAAATGATGCTACTTCAAAACCAGGGTGGGAACTGTGGAACTGCTAAGAACTAGTCATATAAACAGTCTGATGAATTTATTTTGGAAGTAAAGTCAAAGAGAACTTACTGACAGATTAGATTTAGGTTTGGAATAAGAGTCAAAATGACTCTAAGGTTTGTGCCTAAGGGACTGAAAGCATAGCACTGAGATAAGAAAGGCTGGGCGTGGGGGCAGATACATGAGCAGTTCAGTTTTGGACATATTAAGATTGAGATACTGGGTAGGCGGTTAAGATACACGTGTTTGGAGTTTGGGAGAGCTCTGAGCTGATGATGTAAAGTTTAAAAGTCAGTGGCGTGTACAGACTGCCAAGGGAGGAATGGTAGATAGGCAAGAGGGGCAAGGCCTGAGTGCTGGAACAAACTAGCACCAAGAGGCAGGGGATAGTTATAGTACCAGCAAGGGAGGCTGAGAACCAACCAATGAGGGGGCAGAAGAATACGGGTGTCCTGGAAACCAACAGAAGAGTGTTTCAAAAGGATGATCAACGGTGGCAAATGCTGCAGACAGGGCCAATCAGCAATGGATTTAGCAAGGCAGAGATCATTAGAGATCACTGACAGATGCAGTTAAAAACATTCATAGCAAAGGCCAGAAAGGATGCAAAAATATTGACACAGTAATATCTGTGATCTCTGCACAGTAATATTTGGGGCGAGGTTCTTCATATTACTGTATAAAATGGGTATACATTAACAATGTTTCGCAAAGATTTTCCATTACTGCCCTCCTAAGGAGCCTTTGTAAACATTTCCTCATCGCCACTGCCCCCCACAAAGAAATGTTAACACCACAGATATACATTGCACATTTGTTTACATACTTTAGCCCTCTGATGAGCCACAAACCACTCTATGATCTAAGATTTCTTCACCCCACCAAGAACCATTTTTTATCTCCTTGGGAGTGATAAAATCATCCCTTCTGAGAATTAATGCTTGAAGACAGTAAAATGAGGAACGGAGGAAAAAAAAAGACCAACACAGGTGAAAACACAGGTAGCCAGTGATTCCTTAGTCAGCTGTCCAAAACTGAAATAAATGCTTAAATTAAATTTAAGCAGCCTATAGAAAAGTATGTATCCTAACTTCCAAATTCCTTTGCATGGTACTCTTTAAGACATAGGTCTACAAATAGCTCTCTCCCAGAAATGGAAAAGAGCCCCACTCAGCCCCACCACAAGCACGCATTTAACTGAAAGCTGACCATATATAATAATAAGATACATAAGTAGTAGACATTATGAAAATGAAATATTAAGATTACCAATTACTGGAGCAGGAGGTGCTTGTACCGGAGCTGTTTTATTCCAGGGACCTGAAGATCTTTCTACACCACCACCACCACCTCCACCTTCTTCCCAATTATCACCTGGATCTTCTCTTTTTTCACTATCATCTTCTTCCTTTTCACTATTGGAGAGAGAGATAAATACAGGATATTATCTATTTTATACGGTGGGACTCCCACTTGACTTCATGTGAAAAAAAAAAAAGGATTTCATTGCTGAAAAAGGTTTAGAAAACTACTTGGGTCTGACAGTCTCCACTTCCCTTTTATATACTCAAGAACATTTAGAAATATTTAACACACTGAAATGCTAGGCTATGACAATCTGAATGATTATTTATAGCTGTCCCGGGAAAGACAGGACCCCAGCAACTGGCTCAAGTAACTGAGGGAGGGAAAAGAGGTGGCTCTAACCCGAAATGTAGAGAAAAAGGCAACTTGAAGGATTCAAAATACAATTACTAGATTTTTGTAGGACCAGAGTGAACCAACAGGCATTTACGGGAAGCATATTTTAGCGATCAAATGAATGGTTTTTTAAAGTTGTGTAATTTAACTTACTGATCCATTAGTATGTCACACTATACTCTCAAAATCAGAATAATTCACATTCCAACAGAGGAAAACAAGTCAGTGCCTACATCAGAGCTACGTATTTAATTAGTGCCAATCTCTACTGTCTCACACGGATATACAGAATTGGTCCCTAACACCAGATATGTGTCACCCATTGAAAAAGGAAGAGAATACAAGAACTGTCTTTGGCTTACTAGTGATTACAAATGCAAAAGATATCCTCAGTGGTAAAACAGCATCCTAAGACTGCCTGCAGTGTTTTTTTTTTAATGTCATTTTAAATTTTGTTTATTCTTGAATCTACTTGAGTCAGAAATCTATAATTTCTCCAAGGTACCTTTGATAACTTCTATTACTGGATTGTTATATTTTATATAAACTTGAACATTCTAAATTACCAAGCACAAATACCCTGTCTCTCTTATACTGCTGGCTCCACAGCAGGGAAATCAAACCTCCTTTTTGCAACTCTTCGCCCTTGCTGATGATGCACCTGGCACAGACTACCAAGCTTTTCCCTGAATTATTTCCCATGACAATGGTGGTTTTCCTAGGTCTTCAGTCTCTTAATCTCCATGATTCTTACTACCCTTTTCCCTCCTATGAAAAAAAAAACATGGCTATTGCATGCAACTCTGTCCCTGGCCTTCCACTCTTTTAGACATTTTCTCCTTTTGATACCTGATCCTTGATCATAGCCGTAACAATATACAGATGACTCCCACCTGACTATGTTACCTTGGGAACATCATGGCCTCTCCTGGCTTCTGCAAAAGGACATCTAAGTGTGTTTTTTCTTCCATTTCTATTAAAACAAGATAAGTCCTGGCTATAAAACAAATTTCTTGAATAGCTAATGGTCACCTTTAAAGACACTTATAAAAAAGTTTCAATGATAATGGTAGCATCATATGAATTGTTCCCAATCATACATAATTTCAGAATTTAGAGACCAAGGGTGGTTTTCAGGAAAGGGAGAATGGAACAAACATCTACAATCTGCAATTATAGCAAGATTTTACTTAGACTATAGTTTGAGAGAAAAAAGGATGGAGAATATGGATGGATGGTCAAGCCACCCTTTAGTTTTTCTTTTCGTCAACACATAAAATCCTATACAGCCATTTAAATTGATGTTAGGTCTAACATCAACACGGAAGCAATTACTAACACGGAATAATTTCATGTCATATAAACCAACATGAGTATAACTTCTGAAGGCCTCAGTTTCCTCATATGTAAAAAGGGGATAGCAGCCCCATTATGAAGATTAAGTGAGTTAACAGACATAAAACACTGAGAATAGTGTCTGGCATATAGTAAATGCTGTGTTTCCTATTATGCTTTTTAATATTCATTTGAGTTTTCACACAAACAGCACATACACCACCTTTATAAAAGGAAAAAAACATAGTTTTCACTTGGAAAAAAAAACCAAGCACAAAAACATGTTTTTAAATGGATATGAAGTAATAAAATAAATAGATTTAAAAAATGGACACCAAACAGTATGACTATTTTCTAAAGTTTATAAGGTAGTGATATGGTGGTCATAACTGATCCAGGACTCTAACAGTGGTATCCAAACATCAGAATTGTCTCCCACCCATTTTTTTGTTTTTTCAAAGTTACCCATTTCTGAAGCCATGCCAATGTATTATAATTACACCATAACGTAATTTGCTTGGTTCATGAGTAAAACTATGGATGTTACTCACCCAGCTACAATTAACTAATTATAATTAGTAATGTCCCAGCAAACCCAATATATGCCAGACAGTAAGGTAAGACCCCCCCAACAAAGATTTAAGTGCCTTCACAGCCCTTTTATATTCTTATATACCCTAGCTGTGATAGCTTTCAGTTGTCATTTACATTTCGAAACAGCAATATGCTGAATCACAATTGTTCAAATATATATTAAACTCTAAATAGCTTTCCTCTCAAATTACTATTGTATTTGGTGATTAATAACTCCAGAATTATCAGCTTGCAATAAACAAAAACCAAAAAACTTTAACACTAATTATCCCTAAGCAGAAGGGATTATGGATAATTCTTACACATATGCTGTTCTTTTCAAATGTTCTTTCTAAAAATATTATTGTTTTTCTAACTCACAAAGAACTTTTAAAGAAAAACTCCAGTTTGGTGTCATAGAATACTCAAAGTCCCAAGTGAAAAAATTCCTTTACTGTCTAGTAAAGAAATTTATCATCTTTTCACCTTCAGAGACAAGTAAAGGAGTGAATAAAACAATCAGAAATCTAAAAATACCTCTAGATTATAAAGCATTACTGATGAATAAGAGTGGTCTCTTTAATTAGAGGGATAGCATATCTGTAATAATAGTCACAAGAAGAGAACTTAGTATTTTGGCTTAAGATTCTGAAATATTAGCTAACCATTGGAAATTACCTAGGCAAAACCTTTCACCCAACAGAGGGAACGAAGGCCCAGAGGTGCTAAGAGCCTTGCCAAAATGCCACAGCACCAATGGCAGGGTAGAAATATGATTTAAATATCCTAGTACTTTTTCATATTTACATATTGCAGAAAATGCCAAGTCTATAAAACCAAAGCCAGAACAAGAACCATGTTGCAAGGAATTATTTCCACAGAAGACAATTAGGATAAAATTCCATGTTTGATCCACATATATGGGTACTCATGGGCCAAATGTGTTTTTAAACACTACAATACTATCATAAATTCAATATCACAATCACAGTATACTTGTCTTAAATATGCGTAAGTCTATAAGGTACAATTGGTGGGGTGGGGGAAATGATGGTGCTAGAAAAAGAGTATTTACCAAATATCTACTATTCCAGGAAGCGTTCTGCTCACTTTACAAAGTTAAACCTCGCAATAACACTACAGCAGGGAGAGGACCCATTGTACATATGAGGAAACTGATAATTAGACATTTAAGTACTTTCTCCAGGGCTACAAAGTAGCACAGCGAAGTCAGCAGGACTCCAGGGCCCATATTCTTTTAGGTTGCTTATTTCCTTTTATCCTCTTTACAGCTCTAAGATGACACAGAAATTTTCTCTATTTTTAGATATGAGGAATTTACTTTCTTTAATAAGGTTGTTCAGGAATACACATCCTGCAGCAGTGTATTTATAAAGAACAGAACATTCTTACCTCATCTCAAGGGACATTACATGAGAATTTACGTATCCTGGCCCCCCTCCCCCAACGCTAGGGGAGGAAGCAGCTAAAACAAAATCCAGACCTGACTGAGCTTCTACTGGAATGCTGGGCATCTCCACTGGTTTGACACTATTATCCAACAACTCTTAACAACAGTAAAACGGCGAGATAGAAATGATCTGATGAGCTATGCTTGGCAGCTTAAACAAAATGTCACTGTACCTCATCCAAGGACTCTTTATTGATTCAATTCATGGTAGACTAAGTGTCTCTCTCCTGGGCTCCATCGCACCATGCATACCACTGAAATGATCTGCTGGTGTCTGGTCGAGTATGAGTTATTTTTACATCCCCAAGACCCAGCACAATGTCCGGCATACAGTAATCACACAAGTATTTGTTACAATAAATCCAGTTTGGACACAGGAATAATTTCTTCTCTTCAAAGGACAATTTAACTAGCCCTGCCTAATGGGTTTAAAGGTCTAGATTTCTTAAGGTTCCTAGAAAACCACTGGGCTCCAAGAACTCTCAATTCTTTACTAAAACATGACAAATGCTCAAAAATTAGTAACTTCAAGTATTAAATGAAATCTTTCTTTCTCCCAAAAATCCATTTTAAAGGTGGGTGAGGCACACAGCCAAAAATCTAAACTCAAGTGTTAGGCCCTTTCTTTCATCACCATATCTCAATGACTTCCCTCTCAAGAACTTATCTATAATGGCATGACCTTGAATAAGAGCTATTAATTTAGACACAAAATTTGATGCATGCCCATATAATAATACCCTTGGTACTTAAATCTTGCGCTAGTTGGTAAATGTGAGATAGGATGTTACTATATTATGTTTGTTGCTACTAAAATTTCCCCCTTTCAAATGTACTTATCTTTGATAAAAGCTTGCTAACCTACTATAAGGACTTGTGTCAAGAACTTCAAGACTGTATGCAATATCTGCAGCTAACTAAAGACAAGGCAAATGTGGCAAAAATGATTGGTAGATCTACACAATTCTTGCAACTTTTCTGAAGTTTAAAGGCTGTGAATTTCAAGATCTTTTAAGTCAACTTTTCCTTGTCCCATATTAAGATAGCAAGGCTGCCTCTCATGGACAGAAAAGATAACAGATTAAAGGCAAAAGGAACATCATCTCCCAAATCCCAGGGAAAAGAAAAATCTCATTTCTCTTTCCTTCTAAGGCAGTGGTTCTCAAACTTCCTAGTGCCACGACCCCTTAATACAGTTCCTCATGTTGTGGTGACCCCCAACCATAAAATTATTTTTGTTGCTACTCTATAACTGTAATTTTGCTACTGTTATGAATCATAATGTAAGTATCTTTTTGTTTTCCGATGGTCTTAGGCGACCCCTGTGAAAGGGTCGTTCGACCCCCAAAGGGGTCGCGACCCACAGGTTGAGAACCGCTGTTCTAAGGGCTTCTGCCCCAACAGATTGCCATAGAAGACAATCATTCGAGACCTCTAGCAATGCTGAACACTCTGAGAAGGATTTTTGTTTGTATGGTTATACTAATGTCCACCTGTAACATGTAATTTTCTCCTGTTATGTCCACAGTGAACTGACTCACCCTAGTCTCACGACAATTAGTCACGATAATTGTATGTGACTCCACTACCCCTTCTCAAATCTTGGGTATTGTAAATAAGGTGCCTCACGGTTAAACAGCAGATAAAGTCCCAAGAATAACTTGTTCTAATTTACCCACTGAATAGAGAAGATGACTCATATTAACCAACTCAGTATTTTACAAACATCCTCTTCAAAATCTTCACAATGACCCTGAATAGTTGGCTCAATTTTGCAGGTAAGAACCAACATTCAAAAGTAAAGTGACTCGCCCAAGGTCACACACAAGCAGCAGGGCTAAAATGCAAACATAGGTTTGTCTTTCCCCCAAAGTCCATCTTTTTGCCACATTATCAACTCCATTCCATTTATGTGAGTAACCACTCTACACAAGATGTGTTTTTCCTCAGGGACCCTCACCCTATTGAGTTTCACTGACAAGAACATTTAATACACAGTTTACAAGGATACTGAGTATATAAGGTGAAAATTTTAGTCATTGTTATTAAACGTCAAATGGCTTCTCACTCTCAAACCTTTCCTGAAAGCTGTTCGATTCCCTTATTGAATGATTTATAAAGGCAATGGAAATACAGATCCTAGCCTCCATAGTGACTGAGGATCCACAAAAACAGCTTCTTGAAGAAAGTATGTTTTCCAATGTAAGTAGGTTAGAGGAAGACCTCTGGATGGCCACTTAGGGGCACTGACTAGATGCTAATATTGAAAAATGAAGACTAAAGTAACCTTGAATATGGATATGGGATATATATTCAATAACAAAAAATAAGTACAGTTTAAATATCCTCCATAATATAACAAAATCAATTTCTAAATTCAGTGAACTTGAAACCTTTTCACCTTGTCAAGTGCTGCTCTTGCTCACTAAGTTCCGTCATTCAAGTCTTCGGGAATTTGCAGTCAGAAAGGCAGGCCAAGAGCCTTATTCCACACACATGCAGTTCCATAAACCCAAAAGGTTAAGAGCTGAAACTCCAAACTAACACTTCTACTTAACACTACTACAAAGGAATCTCAAAGTGAACAACCTGCATTTCCTAGTTTCCCACTAATCAGGCTTCACTTTGGTTAAATTCATGAAATGATGTGAAGAAACTAGGACATTAATGCCTACCTGTGGTAGGTATTCAACAAATGTCAAAAATATTAACCCTGCTTTTTGAATGAGTTATGTTAAGCCCATAAATATTACCATTTAGAGAGGTCAAAAGACAGTATTCTGTTAAGGAAAATTATTTTCTCCACTATGCCTTGTGGTCACTGGTATATACGAATAGCAACCATCAAACTTGAGGCAGTTCATTGGGATCGTTTACTTCTTTAAACTTGGAATGAAGGGTTTTTAATTTTAAATCAATGGAACCATGTATTCACCTTTTTTTTTCTCCTTTACCAGCCCCTCAAAATATAACATTTACATGAATCTAAAACTGACTACCTTAGATTAGACTTGATAAAATGTTAATTTCAAATCCTTTAAGCCAATTCAATTTTTAAAAATTACTGTTTTCTTGAATTTTAAAAATAACATGCTTAGACTATATGATTCATTTCTATACAATTCTAGGGAAAATTAACTTATAGTGTTAGGAGTGGAGCTTTCTTCTCTACCAGTAATGTTCAGTTTCTTGACTTTGGTGCTGATTACACAAGTTGGTTTCACTGTGTGAATATGTAAAATCTGTTCTCTGTAAGTGTATTTCAGTTACAAGAATATATACTAACTTGTTTATCAGAAGAGGATCTGAAAACCATCCACGTTGTTTTTGAAACAAAAAGAAAAACTATGCTCAACTCACCAATATTAAAAGTAAATATTTTGAACCCACAAAATCAATTTTAGCTGTCTCAAATAAAAATAACCTAACCAGCACTGGAAGTAGGCAAGCTCTCCCAGGATTTTGGAGTTGGCTGCTAATTTGATCAGCATATAGAATGACTGCCATCACAGAAAGAAAGAATAGACACTATTAGAGTCCTAGGTAAGTGTATCTGAAGCACAAGGCTACAATGATTCTATTTGGGGGCTAAAGAAAAACCAAACATACAATACCTATCCTAAGTGTTATCTAAACATTTTTTTTGTAACCAGACCATACCTTATTTGCATTGCCTGAACTCTAAGGCCGCTGTAATCAACTTCTTTTTGCTCAAATTCTTTCCATTCATCTTCATCCTGTAAAACACATACCATCTAATCAATGAAAGCTATTTCGTAAAAATACCACTAAGGCAGATACTAGACTATGAAAAAGATCAAGTGGTTGGAACCTCAAGTGCAGAAGCCCTTGCTTGATCCCGAGGTCGACGAGGCTGGAGGACAAACGTGCCCAGCAGTCAAACACTGTTATTTCCACCGGCTCCCTTTACGAGAGCTGTTACTTTAAAAGCAACCAGGAAAAGCCGAAGGAAGAAGTCAAATAGGAAGCCCACAACTAAATATTCACCTCAACGTTGCCATGTGACTTCTCCTTTTAGGGGTTTAGAGACCAAGTAATGCCAATTAGTTGCCACAAATGCGGTTACTAGAGAATTCAGCTCCCACTACTGGGCTTAAAGTCAGAACACTAAATTACTCGGAGTAGACGTCACTCGAAAAATGCTGCTCTGTTCTGGGCACTTCAGACCCAGACCAATTTCCTCGTGAGGGTGCTGCTGCCTCGGTCTTGGCTCAAGCCAAGCGGGGTGCAAAGGGGCGGGTCAGGAGCAGGGTAGAGGGGGTCCCGCGGGGAGAAGGCGAGCCGGCCCGACCTGGGAAGGGAAACCCACATCACGTGGCCAGCCTCCGCGCCCGTCCGCCCGCTGACCAGCCCCCGGAGGCCCCTCCCGGACGCTCCACCAGGCGGGCAGGCGGGCAGACGGGCGGGGGCGGGCACATGGGCGCAAGCGCGCAGCCCCGGCCCCGAGTCCCGGCCCCTCACCTTCGTCACGGCCTTGGTGGCGGCCCCAGGGCCCGCGGCCCCCGCGCCCGCGGTTCCACCGTCGCCCGG